ATGAGAAAGCTCACAGTTTCAGCTCATGGGAGGGCAGCACAACGATGGCAGGGGCAATACAAATTAATCCTGCGTGGCACTAGCAGAAATGTGTGTGTACATTTGAGTGTATGTAGCTGGGTTTGCGGATGAGAAGATAAATGTGCACAGCCATTGTTCATACACTTAGAATATTATAACCAACTTCAGCAAAAAAGACAGGCCGTTTCCCCCTCAACTTCAGGTAAATTATCATCAGGTTTAATGTGTGTGTACATTTGAGTGTATGTAGCTGGGTTTGCGGATGAGAAGATAAATGTGCACAGCCATTGTTCATACACTTAGAATATTATAACCAACTTCAGCAAAAAAGACAGGCCGTTTCCCCCTCAACTTCAGGTAAATAATCTCATCAGGTTTCCGGAAACGCATGCCAAAAAGCTCACTTTTTTTCCGTGTCACTTAGCTGGGTCTTGACAGTCTCTGAGCAAGTTTTATCGTTTGGTTGGGAATTATTTTAGATCCTTGATCAAGAAAAATCCTCAGGCTTATGAAATTCTCCTTGGCAACACACCGAAAACCCAGTGTCCTCTGATGCCTCTGATTCTTATGTGATCAGGGACACTAATGATAATGACCCTTTGCTGAGTATGCTACTTGTCTAGAGGCCTATGTCAACTACACCACCACATTCGGAGTGGACAGGGACAAACTATTTGTTTGCTCTTCAGGCCCCTTGGGCCCTGTCATATGCTATTTGTTCTTGCATTAAGAGGTAGTTTGACTCAGCTGGGCTGACATTTCCTTCAAGTCAGTGTATTCCACTCATGCAGTAGCAGCTACCAAAGCATTAAGCGTGGACTTGAGCCCCAGCAACAATCCTTTTAAGTGGCTTTTTTGATTCATATCCAGGGCTTTTCACATTTTTACTGGTCATTCTGGAATCCAAAATGACACTTTTTTTTAAAACTAGCTTTGCTATTTGATATTCGGGCAACATAGCCTCCTCATATTTAACATGGCTGTTCATCAATAACATGCATCAAAACCTGTGACTGTGAGATGATGAACAGGTGACTTGATATCGCTGCACGACACCAGAGGCATCAAATGATTCTACTTTTCTTCTCTGTCTCATGAAGAAGGAGACCTGATACGCGATTACTCTGCTACTCACAGCTTTCCTTTCTTTTCCTTCTACTTCCTATTTTAATTTTACTTTTTATTGTAATGGGATTTCTTTGCATTCACATCTCCACAGCAGAAGTATCCGTTTTTTCCTGTTGGAGTTTAAGTTACTTTTAAATAATACCCACGTTCTCGTGGGTTTAATGGGACAGACTTCTCTTGATGGGAAACAGATAGGAACAACCATGACAATGCAGAATATTTTTCTAGTTAATTTGCATTTGTAGCTATAGTTGGAATTTGAAGGATTTGTTTCTGATTGATTAGATTCTTCCTGTGTTGCATCAGTGTGATCCTGCTCATGTCGTTTGATGTGATGCAGGATTCAGTTAGAACGGTGACTTTCTAAATGTGAATCTAGACCGTTTGTGATGTATACAAAGAACATTTGTATGCCTACCATCTATTTATTTCAGCTAGTAGTTTATTGGCACTTAGAGACAATAACATCAAAAAGATGACACTGAAAAGATGCCTTCCATCTATCTATCCGGATCATATTTGGTAATACAGCTTTCTACTTATGTGTGAGTAAATCTCAAAAATTCCCACTTTCGGACCAGGTCTAAATGAGCACCTGTCAGACCTCTTGTCATTATGTCCCAGGGAATCCCTATGATACAGCTTCTGTCCTCTGTTCTACTCCAGTGACAGCAGAAGTCATAAAGTTTTATCTCATGGCATAATCCCCTCTTCCCTGATTTGCCCCAGCCACTGTGGAAATCTGAAATCTACGCAGCATTTTCAACATTATCTTAACCGTAGGGCTGCTCAGAAAGTGATTCTAAAGTCACGGCTCTGGTTACAATTTATAAATGAACTTTTCACATATTCCTCCTTTACATGCTCCAGACTTCTTGTCCTCCAGGCCCCCTCTAGATCCAGGACCATAGCTGAGGAAAAGTCTGCAACGTAGCCAGCTGTTTCTGTGGGCGGGACAGGGGGGAAGCTGGCTTTGAAAAGGAGCTTTTAAAGTAAAATTAGGAAAAATATTGCAAAGATCAATATCAGCTACAGACATGACAGCGCTTTAGCTGATTTACCCCTTGTGTACTTTTAGCTGACATACACTAAAGATTTCTGGGCAGGAAAGCAAGTACCTGTCACTTTAGGTAATTTATGAGGATACAAAATAGCAGATAATACAGCCCACCTTTGTCTATCGGAAAGGAGAAAAGCGTTCGGCCGTTACACTCAAAGCTTAACAGAGTTCTCGTCTGATTCAATCCACTTTCTCTTATTTAGCACCTTGAACCAAAGTTAAGTCGGTGTGGATAAAGGGTAAGGCAAAGAGGCCATTGGGTCTGGGGAGAGGCCGAGGGTGCCAACACAGGGCTGGTGAATAAATTTAGCAGCAAGGGAGAAGAGGAAGAAAACAATGTCTGGATTTGGAAGCCTGGCAAGTTCTCCGCTCGCCGCTCGACCTGTATTTAGCAATTCTGATGCGCTACTGAGCAGACAGCCCAGGCTCAGGACGACTACTCTCCCTCAGTCCCTCTTCAGCAGGCAATGAAAGCAGGCTCCACTTTGAAAATCTTCCCCCATCATGCAAACTGACACAGGCATGCTTTTCAAAAACCCACAGCCAATCTGTTGATCATTACTTATTTACAAAGGCCTTCGGGCAGAAAGTCCTGTAAAAACCATACTTGATACGGTATACACTAGCTTTTTCTGCTTGTGGAAAAAAGTACCCCTAAGGCTACCTCAAACCATCACTTTCTATTGCACATAAAATGTACCGTGTAACACTAAAGTATTTAATATATATGGTATAATATATCTACAGGAAAGGCATTTGTGTAGAAGTATGTTACCCTGTATTTGGTAATTTGATGTTTTGCTGAAGGCTATGACTTGAAAAAGCCTGCACCTAGTACAGAGGACCTGTCATCTCAGTACCCAAGAGCCAATAGAATAAAGAAGTACCCTTAAGCAGCAAAACTTTGACACAGCTTTGAAGCATATGAAAACAGTGTAACTCCCCAGAATTATTATTACTCAAGATCAAAGAAATGAGGCATACTTTACATAGCAAACAGGGACAGTGTGCTCAGCACCAAATGTTTCAGCTCTTTCTCTCTCTCTCCCTCTCTTTCTTTTCATTTCTACTTCCCCAAAATTAGGATCTGGTGAGGGGGGGGGTGAAATCTCCCACATGTTTAAAACTTTAAGTGGTTAAAATTATTAGCACCAGATAAGAAGACTGTCCAAAGGTAAGTAAATTGAAAATGATGTAGCATGACAACTGACACCATAAAAATGAGAAGCTTGCCAGTATGTTCATTTTATTCTTCCTCATAAACTGTAAACAAGCATGTAAATCAGTGTCATATGGGCAAGGCTGAGCTAACAGGAAGGCAGAGAACTTTTAATGACACATTTAACAGAAATAGATGGTCAATAGGAAAAAAAAGCCACAGCTGGATGCATTTTCCTCTGTGAATCAATCTCACTTTTGGTTCTGTAGTCTAAACAGAGATGAAGACAACTTGTACAAGTTACGTCCTTGAATATGCCCTATATTGCAGTAACAATAAACAAATATGGATGCTCCTGTAACTGGCCAAAGAAAATTCCAGTCTCCTGACTGAAAGACAAAGAGGAATATTACCTAGCTGTATCCAGAATTGTTAAAGGAACAAAATCATTGTCAACAATAAAAGCTATGAGTGATTTTATATATGGAAAGAACTACATATTCGTATTAATTTTTTTCACTTAACCTCTGTGCCTGCGGAGCAGTTGCAGTTATACATACACCCGAACCCCAAACTGCACGAACGTGTCTGTTTATATACGTAAATAAGTTTACATTTTTCTGTGTGTGTGTATATAGATATGCAGTGGAAAATCTCTGCTACGGTATTTAGTTCTGGATACAATTATGGACTGAGGTTCTAGCCTGGCTACTTTAGATACGCAAAACCAGAGCAGGAACAGCCTCCTTGTAGGAAACTCCACGTCCGCTATCTGATCCTGTTCTGACTGACTCGAGCAGGCAAAAGGTGACGCACGGTGAGACAGAATGCAAATGCCCTATTATCTTAATAGATTCCAATTTCTTGTTGCAGTTCCAGTTTTAACGAATCTCTTAGAGGTAATTTGTCCTACGGAAGGAAACTACATAGTTACGCAAAGGCGGACCGGTGTAAAATAATGCACACATAGCAACAGGGGAAAAATATCACTAACAAGATGATGTTTTCATCACCCGCTTTCAGCATATATACTGCCCTTTTAAAAAATCCCTGTATTTCATAATTAATGTGCTTTTAGCCTGAGTAAATCTGCATTAGTTTTGAACTTTGCTTTGGCAAGTACATAGATTATTAGACTTTTTTATCAGTCCAAATCAATTAACAGAAATTTGATTTCAATCGACAGGATAAAAGGAAGGTAATATTCAGGTTCATTTTTGATTGTGATGATACATCTCACATATGGCCTTAAGTACAGAAAACAGTACTCAGAGGGAATCCAACAAAAAGAGAATTGCCTGAGGCAAACTCACCACATGAGTTCCCCTGATTGGTTAGTGCTATCATTAGTGCCACTGCTGTTTAAGAACTACACACGGACAGGACAGGGTGACAGCTAAGACTTTAAAGCCTATGTATTTTTCAAACAGCTTTTCAAACTGTTTTTCGTGACAGAATTTTTTTCAGCTCTATCATTAACTGCTGACAAGCTGACAGAATAAATACTTCAGCCTTTCAGAAACCATCTAACAATCTTTTTTTTCCACCCCTCCCCTTATTTTTGATGTGGGGGGAGGAGAAGAGGAAGGAAGGAAGAAAGGAGATGAAGATATGAGTTTCTTACAGTCTTACCTCATCAGTTTGGGTGAGGAGTTGGGTGAATTTCGCATGCCTCCATTTCGCTGCTTTTTTTTGGGTGATAGTGTCGACGGCTGCTCATCTTCAACTGGAAATATAAGGAACTCATGAGATTAAGTACTGCTCTAAGTGCAATACGAAATACAAGTGAAGTAGCAAAGAACACACACTCTATGTCCATTCACGCACTGATACTTCATTGCTAACATAGGCCCAACAGTAATAAAAATCAAATACATGTTAGTCGAAGAGATTGGTTTGAAGGAGAAGCAGGGAAGAATACCAGGGTTTTGAACACAGGCGTTCAAATTGGTTTCATACTTCAAAAACAAAGGGGGGGGGAACCACATTCGGGTTATTCTGAGAGTTATTTTCAGTTAATCTGCGCTACAGAAAAGTAGAATTAGTGCTCTGCTATATTCCCAGAAAGATAAAGTACTATTTGCAATACCAACATAACAGCTGCCAGCCTGCTTTTGCTAATGAACTAGACACCAGTTGGTTCTTGCTCCTCACATGCCAAACAACAGAGTCTTCATGAAGAGATGTAAAATATTCAATGCCTTGATGTTCAATGATTCAGTTAGTCGGGAATGGGAACGCAGCCTGCCATTGTGCACAGATCTCCAGCACAAGTCAGACCTCATCGCTCTACCCTTCTCACAAAAGGGAGTTTTAACAGGAGTGAACAGAATGAGGTTGAATGGAAGTGGGGAGACAATACCTGTATAACAGAGGATGCATGTGTTATGCAATCTTTTAATGAGGATGAGGTGCACTTTCAATGACAGATCAATTTCCAGATGTAAAATCACTTACGGTTTTGCCAATCGTCAACTACTCTTGGATAACCTATGTCACAATACGTATTGCTTAAACAAGTGCAGCTTCCTAATAACTCATCTAGAAGAATTAACCATCATCATTACTGTTTCAAGATTGTTACTGCACTCGATAATCTGCGCATAAGGTTTACATGTGCTATCAAAGGGAATTATCTTATGCCTGCTTGCTCAAATTCACACTAATGCTGAATTATTCTAATATAAAAAAGGAAAAATACACTTTTTTCCCCATCCTACTGTTAACCGAAAAATGAACTAGAAGATAATATAACTGATGCCTAGGAAGCTGTTACTTTAATGCTAAAAGGAAAGAGATTAGTAGTAGTAGTAGTAGTAGCAGCTATATTAAAAGAGCTTAATACACATTAGCAGTGCACAAGCAGAGGCTGGGAAAAAAAATTCTATTTGCAATGAGCTACGTAGGAACAACAAAACCTGGATATATGTCACGTGCCCTAGACTTATCTGGGAAGAAATTAAGCAATATCCTTCTGCTATAACCCTCTTCTGACACTACTTTATTACAGACTGCATTCTAGCCTGTCATGTCTGTCTGTTTGCCCAAGTCTGCTACGGAACTTCATTTTGCCTTCGTCAGGACCGAAGGACTGGGCCCTGAAAAGACAGATGTCCTGTCTTTTTAAAGGACCTGGCATCACCTAACACATCAAGGGAATCAAAACAAAAGAAAGCACTGCAAAAGAAAAACCAAAAAAAGAAAAAAAAAAGCTAACCCCAAACCAAATGCCCCAAAGAGTGGTGTAAAAGGTAATACCTAGATCAGAGCAATGACTGTCTAATAATGATTTATTTCGCTAAACTTTTTTTTCTTCTTGGGCAGCATCCCCAAAGAGAAAGCCATTTCCTTATCATTTGACTTTTCTTCTTTTCCAAGTCAGAGTCCTATAGTAGAAATGCTTACCGATGATTAGTCAAGTACCATTCTTTGTTTGGCTGAGAGATAAATAAGCCCATAGAAAATTCTCAGAAATATACAAATTGAAATTTTCTTTCTGTGACTGTTTGGATTAAACGAGTTCACTTCAGCATGTAGCTATTTGTAACATGAAGTGAATATGCACAGAATTATTTTGTTAGTAATATCTTTCTATTTCTGATCATAACAAAGTGCAAGTACTTGTGCATTTCAGAACACCCTCTACAAATCGCTCTCTTGGAAATGGCCTGGTCTTGTTTTAAACTTGTCTATCAAAAAGTTATTCACATGCTATTCCACACAGACAATAGGTTGCTTTCAAGATATACACTGTGCTCTCTTGTTCTTTATGGGATATAAATATTCAGTTCCAGTCTGATGAATCCACCACTTAAAAGATCAAAGGAACAAGAACCATGCAAAATGTTCCTTCCAGAAACCAGCTATAACTGATATGTTTTGCTCTCTTGGTAGTAAAAATTCTGAATTTCACTTAATTTAATCTGCCAGCATGGGGCTACAGAACGTTTGTCAAGAGATTCAGTATTGCACCATAAGTGTATTGTTATACTATTTTAACAGTTTAAGGAAGATATATAGCCATCAGGACCATGTGCAAAAACTTACATTAACACAAGTCAACTGTAGATCATATTATAGCCGGAAATATTTCTATGAACAATAGAAAACTATTAAAAAAGAGTACTTTTCCAAGTTTTTGGCTAGCTAATAAGACTCCTGTCTGATCCTTTCAAATACTGAAAGTTAGTACAATAAGGATCTTTTGTACTATATGGTCCAACATTTGTGTTCTCCAGTGCTGCCAGGTGATGCTACCCTGCTGTCCAATTAAAAAACAAAGTCTTACTAGTAATCATCCAGAATAACCATTTCTAGAACTAGATTTCTAGCAGTCTGCAGTTATTTTTGGTACTGCATCTACAAGAAATAAGCTCCCTCTTTGGATATGTGCTTGTCATATTCAAACTACGCTACTGTCACCGATTGCCTGGAAAGTCCAAGGTTAATGTGGCTCACTAGTTAATACCTGTTAGCAAAGCCTTCTGAGGGATCTCAATTTGTTGCTAAAGCAATGCCTTGCTTAAGCAAGGAAGCCATTTATTCTCATGGCAGCAATGAAAGGTGATCTATCTTCATCATACCACATCCGAACAAGAGTTTGTTTTTCAGTGAAATCCCTGCGCAGAGTTTACAGGGCGTCTGCCGTTTAAAAACGCAGCTGCGTAAGAATGGGGGAAAGGAATCCATGAAGCTGGAATATGTGGATGGTATAAAATGGACACCATTACCTATGGCTTGGTTCCCAAAAGTGTTGCAATGGTAACTCACGAGTGGCTTCTTAGTAGGAAGTAGGATATAAAACATTTTTAATTATTATCCTTCAGATACTCTTATCAATTTCCTGCATATTTAAAGACAGATCTAGCTTTGTTTTTCAGTGAAATCCCTGCGCAGAGTTTACAGGGCGTCTGCCGTTTAAAAACGCAGCTGCGTAAGAATGGGGGAAAGGAATCCATGAAGCTGGAATATGTGGATGGTATAAAATGGACACCATTACCTATGGCTTGGTTCCCAAAAGTGTTGCAATGGTAACTCACGAGTGGCTTCTTAGTAGGAAGTAGGATATAAAACATTTTTAATTATTATCCTTCAGATACTCTTATCAATTTCCTGCATATTTAAAGAAACAGATCTAGCAAAATTTTTAGTAAAGCTATAAAATACCATTTTAGTTTCATGGTTCCTGTGTCTGCATTAATTTAAAAGGGAGTCTTAAATTTGCTTGTTCTTACGAAAGACAACCATATTTGAATAATGGGCTGTGATATATGACAACTCAACTCTGATGTTGCATGTTTGACCTAGCGCTTTTGTTAATGAGAATGTGTCCCCATTTTTAGTATTTTTGATGTCTTCATGCTACAGGAATTGTATTAAAATACAGTCATATTATATTATGCAGACTTTCTTTACCAGCTTTCATGAAAATTGCAAATAAGTTCAAGAATTGGACACAGAATTTTATAGAATTGGAACTCAATCCAGCCTCTGAGTTCTAATAAAATTCAAGAGCTTGTTTGCACATCCCTAAGCATAACACTTAATGTACCGCTGTAACAACCCAGTGCTCACTTGTCTAATAGGCAGAGAATCTAACAGTTTTGCAGTTCAGGAAGACTCAGTGCTAGAAAAATGTCAGGCAAGTCTAATGAGGCTTCAGATGCTCCGGTTTATGCTGGAGTTTAAATTAAAGTTACACCGATGTTTTAACATGTTTGCTTATTCTTGAGTAAAGAGGATTCATTATTTCAATGACATAACCTCCAGACAATGTTCCATGAATTGATTTAAGATGTGCTGGTAATTTTAACAGCCTTAATGTGGAGCTGAACATCTGTAACAATATATTACTTGACTTTTATCCTCATTTCATTTTTTAAGCAAAATAAAGGGAATGTCTTTCAGAAACAGTAGACACGTTCGTAACTTTTTTCTTTGTTATTTTGTTACTATTTTTTAAATAAATCTGTCTCCTTCACTGCCTCTCCCAGGTCACTAGCAGAACAGTTTACAGACACTGTTTTTTAGACCCCCAAAAAGCTGGAATTTGAAATAACATCTGTGTTACTGAACATCACACGAACTGGAATACCTGGTAAACTCATTCTGCCTAGCACGTAAAAGCTTCAGAGCAAATAAACCATATGAAAGGTAAAGCACAAACCACCCAGAAACATTAGTTGACTAGCTATCTTGATTAACTTATTAATCACCACATCTGGAGAAACCCACATCTGTAAGCACTTAACAGAGCATTAGTAATGTCATAGTCGCATTGAAAACAGACTGCCAAACCATGCACAAACCAATCTGTATTGCCTTATGCATCCAACTACGGGGCTACCTACGGAGATCTTGGTTCAACCCAGGCTTTTGGGAGTGGTAGCGGTATTTTACAGGCAAGCTGAGTGCCCGTTGCAACCTACAGTACGTAGATTTTCCTTGTTCAACAGAACTCAATAAGTTAAGGTGCAGCAGCGAGGGGTTGTCGGGTAGGAAGAGGCTCCCTTTACGGTTATTAACAAGTGGAACAGGTTCCGGGATTCCTTCAGTGGACTTGGCACCAACCAATGCATTAGTAGTTGCATTCTTGAATTGATATGAACATTTTGGGTAACTTGATCTAGCTGCATTCTTTACTTCTAAATAATAAGAAAAAATTTAAATTAATGTCTTTGTATTAAAAACTATTTCAAACCACAGGCATGAATCAATTTTGATATTATATGGAATTACAGACTCTAAAGCTTAAAGTATCAGTTTCTACAGCTGAAATAAAGGTTTATACCTGCAGCTTTCTTCAGGTTTTTTTCTAAAAATGGCTTTTTATAAAAGAATTCTTATAAAAGGATTATTCCACAATATTATCATCTTTAAGCAATAATCCCATCCTAGGGTAAGTGTGTCTGAGGCAACGCTTATTTCCCACATGTTGATAAAAGCTTTGAGATTTACTAGCTGTGGAAGATGTTTATTCCTTTGGATCTACGGAAAATGACAGGGGAGGTAGAGCACTCTGCTGCTATTAAAATAAATAAGGAATAATAGAAAAAAGTAAGGTCAACACTTCAAAATTGTGCAAGCATACTTATGGAATTAAACTGATGTTTAGGAACCTACATAAAAGTTGCTGGGTTTTCAGAAGTGCTGAATACTGTAAATTTCAGGAGGTCATACACAGCACCTCTGAAAAGAAAGTTAATAAATTTAGTTTCCTGAATATGGATTTAGCTTGAAACTGTGATTCTTAGTCTCTCATTTTTAATATATCAAAGCTAATTAAACAAAAACCCCAAATGAATACCTCTAGGAAATGCCATCCCCTGTAGAAGACAATAATAAAATGTTTTTCTCGTAAAAATATGCAGTAATGATCTTCTCCTAATGCTTGTTTCATTCTGAATGAGTATATTATAGAGAAGAAGGTATATTACCGAGCCACTAAGATCTTATATTCTGTTATGTATTATGAGGTGAGGAGGTTAGGTAGGGAGTAGTTTATGGACTGATAATCTTGCAGCATTATTTCCATATGTTTCAATTGCCTCAAAGTTTCCAAGAACTTGGAGTAGACAGTAGCTCAAAATTGTTTGAGGAGGTCGGCAAGTTTTTGGCATCTTTGTCTAGTTTACCATCAGCTAGAAACACTAGCTGGTAACGGGAAAGATATGTAAAGAGCATCCACATGCTTGCCATTTGTGTTCAAGCACAAAATCTGCCTCTCTCACAAAAAAAGGTGATCACATGTGAATTACCAGAGTCATTTGAATGTACTTTTTAACAAGGTTCAACTATTTGGTGACAAAGTATCCGTTCCCATTCAATGATCTCGGAACTGATGGCTTGCTACTATTCTGGCTAAGATGGATAGAAAAATCAGTGAAAACAGAACTAGAGTCTAACTCACAACGTTATTCTGCTCTTTGCTAATAGTAGTAACATTTAAAGTATAATGATAATAATGCATACTCATGAGAGTTCACACAGATTTTAAATCATTGCAATAGCATAGA